TTGATAGTCTCTATTATTTGAATGTTCTAAACCATTTTCATGGATTTTTGACTCTTATGTTTTCTTTCCTTCTACTTACATTAGATTTGACTGACTCTTCTTTCTCTAGTTTCTTGAGGAGGGACTGTATACTTTTGAAACAGTCATTTTAAGCTCCCTGGGAGTTGTGTGACTTCTCTACGTAAGTGTAACTGGAAGTTTATTGCACTTCCTGTGTTCTCATTACGATGCAGCTTACCAGTGAATATAGGGAATGTTTTTCAATCTCATTAGCATTCAAAGAAATGAAAACTATGACAGTAAAATAATTTATCTCTTTTCAAATTGGCAAAGATTTCAAAAAAAGGGAAATAAAAGTACCCAGCACGGTCCAGATTTAAGGGAAATTAGTCTATGATATGCTGCTGATAGCCACAAATGTCATGGAAGTTAAAGTCTCCAAATGTCTCTGTTTTAAAGACATAAATTGAAACATTTATGAAAGCCATGTCCAGGTGACTCAGCCCCTCGCCCCCAGCTTCTGCCTTGTGAGGGGGTGTGAGACTGAGCGGGATATTCCGGCTGGTAGCCTGTGCTTGCTCAGGCAGCAGCCATTGCTGCCACGGTGGTGCTGATGAGGACAGATCCCGTGACTCAGAGGCCACGTCTTTCGTGCACCCTCACCAGTGACGCCCAGCGGAGCCGCTGCAGGGTGGGGCTGCGGGCTTACTTCTGATAAAAAGGAAGACTTCACATCAGGCACAGCAGCTGCATCCTTGCCTTCTCTGCTCCCTCCAAAATCCCACAATAATTACGGCTATCGCTAAGATTTAATAATCATACAAATATTATGAATAACATACATGAATGAGTTTAACATCAATATGAAATTAATTTCTCGAAAGTATTTTAAGATGCCATAGTTGATGTAAGAAAAAACAAAGAACTTGCATACACTAACAATAAATAAATCAACACGATATTAAATTCTGCCCCTTTTCATCCACCATCTCTGCAAAACGTGCCCACACTAGAAGGTCTTCAGGGTGAGGTGGACCAGGCCTTCCAGAAGCATATTGCTCTCATCCTAAGTAGGTCCAGAAAACAGAAGGAAAGGGGCAGGAGCAACTTGTGTCTTGATGGTTGTATATACTGCATGCAAAATATGGAGAGAGACGACAGGCCAAGTTTAGACATAGATGGATAACTCCTAAGTGAAGTTAATCAATTCCAAGAACAAATTAAAAAGTCATGATCAAATGGGACTTACCTCATAAAGTACCAGAATGACTCATTATCAGAAAATCTATCAATCATACTAAAGAAAAATTGTGATTATTTCAGTAAGTACAGAAAAACACTTGATGGAGATCAATATTTTTCTCTCTCTTTTTTTTTTTTGAGACAGAGTCTTATTCCATTGTGCAGGCTGGAGTGCAGTGGTGCCATGTTGGCTCACTGCAACGTCTGCCCCCCGGGCCCAGGCAGTCCTCCTGCCTCAGCCTCCCAAGCAGCTGGGATTACAGGTGTGCACCACCACACCCAGCTAATTTTTGTGTTTTTAGTAGAGACGGGGTTTCACGATGTTAGCCAGGCTGGTGGATGGAGTTCAGTATTTTTCATAATAAAAGTCCTTTGAACAGCCAGAGTACTGCAGATGGTGCATGGAAGGAGGCACCTGCCGAGAAGACAGGAAGCTCCTGCCCTCTCTCAGGTGCCAGTTCTCACTGTCGCGCCAACACAAGGTGCACAGTTTATAACACGTGATTTTATATTTATTAGAAAAGGTGCCTTGTAAACCATGGCTGCCTTCTCATGTTGCCTGTTAACTTGGAGCCTGCAACAAAATGGTGACAAATACATTAGAAGTAGGCACTTCTGGAGGTTATGAATATGGACTACAAAACGGGAGGTTATTGTTGAAAATTTAAGCAAATGATGCTTGCACTTTTTCATTTCGGATGAGCCAATTCAATGTTTGTTTTTTTTTCTAGTCTCTCAATGGCTTTGCTCTGGTCGTGAGTGCAGAAGGGATGATATTTTACGCATCAGCAACGATCGTGGACTATCTGGGCTTCCACCAGGTAAATGAAACCAGAACAGCCTTCCAGGCAGTTACGTGCTAGGTTCTCTTCCCTTTGTAAATGTTTATTGTCTTCAAGGTCTGACAAATGTCTAAAACCAGGCTTTTCATATCACTGAGCTCTTCTCAGATAAAGATCTCACACCCCGTCTCTGTCGAGGGCAGCGTCTCTTCCAGCCTGGGTTCGGGGTTTCCATGAGAGGCCGCTCAGGGTCCGGGGTGTTCCGGTCTGAGGGGCTGTGGCTTGTGGACGGCAGAACGGCCTCCTCCGGCTCAGGGTCCGGGGTGTTCCGGTCTGAGGGGCTGTGGCTTGTGGACGGCAGAACGGCCTCCTCCGGCTCAGGCACTCTGCTACTCCGCTAGGCCCCCTGCCCCACCAGCACCATCCCATCCAGCCACTCCCAGTCAGTGTCTTAACCCTCAGCTTCTGGGTGCACTCAGGACACAGCGTGTTCTGGAAATGGCCTTCCTGACATGTGCGTGGTTCATTTGGAATGCTACCTGGCCAGCCCCAAGTGGATGAGTCCAGGCTTCGGGGCAGAGAATGGGGTTGAGGCCTCATCAGATACCAGGCCCTGGAAGGGCAATTCACCCAGGAAAAGGTGGGATAAAAAATCTCACCTAGCCGGGCGTGATGGCTCTCACCTGTAATCCTAGCACTTTGGGAGGCCGAGGCAGGTGGATCACAAGGTCAAGAGATCAAGACCATTGTGGCCAACATGGTGAAACCCCATCTCTACTAAAAATACAAAAATTAGCCAGGCGTGGTGGTACATGCCTGTAGTCCCAGCTGCTCGGGAGGCTGAGGCAGGAGAATTCCTTGAACCCGGAAGGTGGAGGTTGCAGTGAGATGAGATTGTGTCACTTCACTCTAGCCTGGCGACAGAGTGAGACTCCATCTAAAAAAAAAAAAAAAAATCTCACTCAAGGCCAGGAGGGGAGCAAGGGAGCTGTTTTTCTGTCTGGGAAGGAGCAGGGGTCCCTCGTGGAAAATCAGATACTGGTTGTAGAATCCAGATTTCTCTCATTGCACGGCAAGGCTCCCAGGATCCGGAAATCAGGCATACTGCAGACTGACAAGATTAATGGAGAACTCAAAGAAGCAAAAATGGGGCCCTTTATCTGCACTTCCACAAGCCACCCCCACAAAAAATACCCACCCTGCAGATGAGCTCCCAATGCAAATTATAAACCCAAGGAAGGCACAGACGGTGAGCAGGAGCCAACAGACAGGTAGACAAACCGTGCTTCCTGGAAGAACTTAAGGAACAAAGCCGTCCAAAGGAAACTGGCAAACAAAGATTTAAAATCATAAGAGGTTAAAGCAGCAATATAAAGAAGGCACTGCATATGATGAAGAAAGAACAGGTATGTTTCACAAAGATCAAAACAAAACTTTGAAAACTAGAGGGTATATTAGGGTTCAGTCTGGAGACAGAAACTCTGCAGAAATTTGAACACTTTTACAGAAAGGCTTAAGACGGGTTTAGTGCAAGGGAATGTTAACCAGTAGCACCAGCTCAGCAGCCAAGGACCAAAGGGACTCTGAGGACACAGACACAGCTGCAGAGGGGCAGCGGCGCCCACAGGGCCCAGGCAGGGGCTATCTTGGAAACCCCAGCCCCACTGAGGCTGGGCCAGACCCTCAGTGGCATGGTGGGGCCATGGCCTGGCGTTGGAGAAGTTCCTGAGATGCTGAGGCCAGGACCTGGCTGGCAGGAAGCCTCCCTTTCGGACCCAGGTCAGATGCATACCTGGAGGCTGCGGGGCCCTGGGGACAGCTGGCACTAGGGGGTGTGCACCGGAGGGGCGGCATGGCCCAGGGCAAGCCCTTCCACCTGCAGTGCTCAGCACCTCTGCCTCCGAGGAAATGGTCCCAGAGCCAGCATTCGCGCTAAGAGGCAGCACACAGGTGATCAAAGCGAAAACCTCCCTGGTCAGGTGGAAAGCGTAGGGGCTGTGTGGAGCAGCAGGCCGTGGAAGCCACGAACCACCCCCTCACCCACACTGGTCCCTACATGTCATTGGCATTCACGTCTGCCCAGGCCTGAGGCTGCACAGTTTTTTAATCCAATTTCCACAAGAGCCGGGATTTTGAGTTTTTTCCCAAAGCTGAAATTGCTGCTGCCTTGCTGGTGATTCTGCGAAGCAGCTCCTCCAGTCGGCCTCTAAGTTCAATCCCCGGCCCCCGAGCCCAAGGCTGCCTTCCCTGTGAACTGCCAGGACCAGGTGACCACCGGGCTCATGGCAGTGAGCTTGTTTGCCGCACCTCGGCTGTCTCTGCACATTGGACGCCTCCTCGGGATGGCCTCACCCCCAGCATTCACGTGAAGGTGCAGCTCATCAGCAGGCCTGGGCCGGCCCTGGTGGAGGACGCAGGGGGACACGGCTGTGTGCAGGGAGAGGGAATGCTGTGCGGTGGGCATGGCTGCCAGGAGGTGCCCAGGTCGCTGCCCTCCTGGGAACTCAGTGCAGGGTGGTTACACGGCTCTGCTGTCCCAGCAGCAGCCTTGATGACTCTGAGCCTCGTTTTCCGTGGCACACAATGGCCAGCAGTGGTGTTTGCCTGCCAGGCTGCGGCCAGACCACGGGGCCACTGAGCAGAGGAGTGCTGGGGAAAGCCCTGGTGCCTGGCGCCACAGAGGGACATCACTCCAGGCAGCTGTTTCAACACCGTGTGACCACAGGCTTTGCCGAGTGTGCTCTGCTGTGGTCGCAGCACGTTCAGCTCCTGATGTCTCCTATGAGAGGGGACCTGCACCCTCATTCCCTCAGATCGCGTGAGCATCTGGGTGGCCGCTGGTGTCTTCTTCATCTCCATCTTCTGTGCTCAGATCCCATGGAGCTGCCCGTGGGATGCTTCCTTTCCATGCGTGGAGAGTGCTGGGATGGGTCTGTATGCATTTGCTGGGGTTTGGTGCCTCCCTCACTGTGGGGTGCCCCAAACAGGGGAACACTTGCATAACAGGATGTGACATGAGGTGTGGCTCGGGGACTCCATCAACCTAAACAGAGCAGCTTCTGCTTGGTCTCTTGGCTGTGCGTGCAGGCTGAGTCTAGAGAAGGCCGCTTGCTCTGCCTTTTGCATGCTCAGAATCATCTGCAGTTCCCGTCGCTGCATCCTGAGCTGCCCTGGGTTCTCCAGATGCACTCAGAGCCGCTGCCTTCAGCCAGGCTCAATGGGCTCACTCCAGGGTTTAGCTTTGGGGATGGGGGCAGGTGCTGTGCAGAGCACTTTGATTCTGGGTCAGAACTTGCTAATTGGACTTTATGTTTTCTTGGCGTTTGGTCATTTTCCCCCAAGCATGAGAAGTTAAAAACCAAAAAAAAGTTTTGCCTTGATTATGAGGAAATTGGTTCCAAATGCCATTAAATCAGGCATTGCCTCTAGTTTATGCAAATAACTCATGAAAATTTTAGAACAGCTTTGTGCTTATGTGAGCTTCTTGTGCAAAATGCTTTACAAAAAGTCAGGAACCAATTATTCCGTCACCGCATGAGTCTTCGAGCTCAGCATGCCTGGTGATGAATACACGGCTTCAGGCATATATTTTGGTTGCCATTGACATTTGTTCATTCAAGAAGTTGTTTGTTCTCTCAAAGGTTAGAGTTTGTGGATCAGAACGGTTAGACTCCCACAGGCATGCTTAGCAGATGTGTGCATGCTTTTGTGCAAACAGGTAAAAATGTCAGCTGTTAGAGTGAGCAGCTTATTAAAGTTGGAAATGATTTTACTCTGAGCTCTGTAAGTGGTGGTGTAGAGCTAAAATAAAGACTGCCTCTACCTGACGAAAGGAGGGTTTGGTTTGTACTATTGGGATAATCTTCGTGTCCTGCTCGCCCCTCCCATTTCTCCCACCATGTCTCTTGCTGTCACTCTATAGGAATCATGTTAAAAGATTAAGAAAGATGTAGGGCAGACATGTCACACTCATGAGTAAAACACAGAACTTTGTCTCCTCAACTTAAACAACATTTACATTTCACCCTGTACAAATCTTCAGATTGGCTGGGGTTGGAGGCATTTTTCTGGTGCTCCGACGCCCCCTCCGTCTGCTCTGCTGCCTTGGTTGAGCCGCGGCACTTTCTCGTTTGTTGATTTCCTTATGTTATGTGGTTGCAGGGTGGGAGACAATGGTGAGGCAGTCGGGGAGGCCTGGGGCTGCTCAGGGAGGGTACTGGGGGCAACCTTCCAGGGACCTAATGCTCAGCGTCGCCTATGGAAGCGCATGCGAGGGCCATTTAGTGTGGGGCAACATGCGGTTACCAGGGCCGAGCTGCCGCTGCTCTGTGCAGGAGGCACACTCCATGGTGAAGGACTGGAGAGAGTTCTGGAAGGTGCAGGGTCTCGTGATCTGTGGAGGAGGAGGAGGAGGCACACTCCATGGTGAAGGACTGGAGCGAGTTCTGAAAGGTGCAGGGCCTCATGATCTGTGGAGGAGGAGG